TACTGATCAATAAGGAATAAATGAAACTAAAATTAGAAAAATGGGCAAAATTCATAGAAGAGCAAGACAAATGTCCTATAAACACATGAAAAGGCCTTCCATCTCATCAGTTATCGGGGAAATGCAAAGTAAGAAAACAATAAGATACCATTACTTATCCACCAGATTGGCAAAAATTTAAAAGGCTGGTGATGTTGCATCTTCTCAAGGATGCGGATATATTTAATAGTTGGTGCCTTTGACTCAGAAAGTCAATCACAGTGTGATAGTCCTCAGAGGAACTCTTGCACTTGTACACTACAAGACATGCATTAATATTTAGAATAAAAAAGACAGAAACAATACAGATGTCCGTCTACAGTCGATGGTGTAAATGATTAGAGGTCTTTTCTTACAACTGGGTGGAAATGGGCTACAGGCATCGACGTGGATGAATCTTAAAACAGAAAATCACAGGAGAATGCATGCCTATGATTTAGTGTTTATAGTTTAAAAAGAGGCAGGGCTCTGGCGTGAGGAGACAGGATGGGGATTACAGACCCAATGCAGCCAAAAATAAATAAATAAATACATTTATAAAAAGAAAAAGCAGCTTAAAAATTCTGGGGCACCAAGCCTAGGGGTACTTCAGGAATTTTTAAAATACAAGCAAAATTAAATAATATATTGCCAAACATAACTGGCAAAAATGTAAAGAAAACCAAGGAAACAACGCAATGTTCAAGAGAGGCGGAACATGGAAACTCTTACAAGCGCTACGTGGACCAGCGTAAGGCTTTAACATGCTCATGGCCTGTGATCCAACGACTGCACGTTCAGCAGTTTGTCTTAAGGAGCAAGCTGGGCAAGATATAAAGACTATAAAGATGTGTGTAAGGATGCAGCTCTTCTTTTCATTACTACTTAGACTTCCGTCCCCGGCTCCCATGTGCTGAGTAGGGGGGGAGAATTTAAGTAAACATCCAATCTGATTTAAAGGTTAGTGCAAGCTGATAAGTTAAACTGTCACTTCAAGTTTGATCAGAGGATGGTCTCCTCCTGCTGCGTGGAGTGTGGGACAAAGGGTGTGTGGCTGGATCTCACCTCCACATCAATGAGAACATCCATTCGGTCTTTCTTTCTCTTCACATTTTTCAGGAGTAAATTCCTAACCCCGTCCGTGCCCGTGCTTAGGCCCAAAGTCTGGGAGGCATCCTCAGAGCCTCCCTCTTTCCCACCCCTCACCTGACCCATAATCAAACCCTGATGCTCCTTCCTTCACCCTCTGTCTGGATTCCAACTCTTCCTGCAACTCCGCCGATTCCCACCCTGGTCCCAACGAAACTGTCTCTCACCTGGATTTCGGTAAACCTCCCAGCTGGTCTCCCTGCTTCTGACCTTCTCAACGTGGCAACTGAGATGACCCTTTAAAGACACCCATCAAATGACGTCCCTTCTCTGCTCCCTGCTTTCTGTTGGCTCCCAGTAGAGCCCAGATGCTTTCTGAGGCCCACCAGACCTTACTCTCATCCCAGCCCCTGGCCCTGCTGTGCCTTCCACCCGAGCCAGGCTTGGTGTTTGTTTTGTCACCTTCCCAGAACAGGAGGTGTTCAATAGTGCCCACGGAGTGAATTATTTCCAACTCAGAACAGCAAAGGGGAAAGCAAATGAATAATGTGTAAAACTATCACCTGCATTACAGTTGCAATAGTGAACAAGTACAAACACCCTAAATTATTATTATATGGGGGGTGGTTAAACGACTTCTGTCGAATCCACTGCAAGGAATACTATGCAACACTTTCTGATATGGAAAGATAGCCACGATATGTCATACAGTGAAGGAAATATGTTTAAATTTGTTTCAGCACCTCTCCAACTTAATTGGCCACAAAGCCCTATCGTGTCATAACTTTTTTGTTTGTTTGTTTGTTTGTTTTGTGGTACGCGGGCCTCTCACTGTTGTGGCCTCTCCCATTGTGGAGCACAGGCTCCGGATGCGCAGGCTCAGCGGCCATGGCTCACGGGCCCAGCCACTCCGTGGCATGTGGGATCTTCCCGGACCGAGGCACGAACCTGTGTCCCCTGCATCGGCAGGTGGACTCTCAACCACTGCGCTACCAGGGAAGCCCGACAATTTAATTTTACCTGATAGATACTTCCTCAATGCACACAAATAGCACACTCTGCACTCTCTTGGAATCTTCTAGTACTTCATTGGACTGGTTCACCTATGAGGACACTGGGAAAGGAAGAGAAAATGACTGCTGAACTGAGTTTAAATTCCAGTACACTGTCTTGGTCTGCACAGAGCTACTTTGTAGTTACATCACCTTTTCCAAGATAAGATTTTGGACAGCTTCTTTTCTTATCATGAACCAAGTAATTTCATATTGCAAAAACTGCATTCATGACTTGAGAAAGTAAGAGTAAGTGTGCGGTATCGGAGTGTGATCAGATAGTTTTTCTTCTTTTGTTTTTAAAGTTTCTCTTAAAAAACTTACTAATTAAACAATACGTTTTGTTGTGGAAGGATTGGAAAGTGCAGACACACAAAAATAAACATGAAACTACATAACAACAACAGTAGTGATAATTAAAGTCACCTATTCACTATCACAAGGAGATGACCAATGTCTAAATCTTTCGTTAGGTCCTTAAAAGATTTTTTCCCTGTACGTATAGTTTTTCACAACAAATTGGGTGAAATTGTATATCCTCTGTTATAATCTGCTTTTTTCCACTCAACGATATTTCATGAATCTGATTCCATGTAATTACCCTTCTACAGAAACGTTTTGGTGACTGTATAGTACTCATTGTATGAATGTCCACTGCTTTCTTTAACCAGCCAAGAATCATTTAAGTTGGTTCTATTTTTTCACTAGTATAAACCGTACTAAAAATTCGTTAGATTGAATACGTGTGTTTTTGCGTACTTGCCAGGGCCCCGAGAGGTTAGCCAGGCTTCCATGCTGATTTCCTCAGGTAGCAAGCAGCAAGCCTAAGCCTTCTTTACAGCCACCGCTAATGGTTATAGAGGGTGAATAAAGAGGCACAGAGAAACTGTTTGCAATCCTGACTGTGAAATGTATTCATAAAAAATCAAGTATTATTCGGCGTCTAGTATGTGCCCAGTCCCAAGTGCCAATTTTTCCTGGGACTTGATGCACCCCGTATGACTAGAGACTCAAACCTTCCTTTAATTTTGCAATATTAAAAAAAATTATGCCTTGAAGTGTTTTCTTCTGTTGAATTATTTTGGTTGTTTTCTACCAAAAAATTAATTATGTCTCCTGCATCTATCATTTTTTTCTCTAATCTTACTTTCACTAAGGTCTTTGTTTATCCAGCTTTTTGGATCCTTTTATATTTTGTCATCCATGTCTTCTTTTGTTTTGTTCTTACTGTCCTTGTTTGTTCCCAGCAAGCAAGGGTTTACTGGTTTTTCTCCCCAGGCTGAGCCATTTACTTCAAAAAAGGAAATATTTCTCTCGGCATGTTGCCTGCCTGTCTTCACAGAAGTCCCTCTGTGTGTGCGTGTTTCAGCAAAGCCTCAGATGTTTCTGATGCAGCCGGGCTGTTGGCCAGAGTTTGAGCAACAGTGATTTAAAAGATAGAGAATCAAATGTATGTTGACTTGAGTCCTGGCTTCTTTAGTTGTGAAATGCAGTCTTCCTCTGTGCTTGGGAAGAAGGAACAGGGTTGGTGAACACAGAGCCTGTACTTCCTGCGGCGGGGGAAGGACAACTCTGAAGGGGGTCACCGGAGGCCTTGCAGGGCTTGCAAGGCGGTTCAGCTTCTCCCTTCCTGCCCCTGCCCCCCGCAGGCGTTGATCCCTGATAATACCCTGCACACCACACTCCCGCCACACAGTCTGCTTCCAGAGTATCTGGTTCTCTCAAGTCTGGGTGTGGCTCTTCTTGGTTAAGAGAGCTTTGAACCGAAGTAGACCATGTGCCCCTGGTCTCTAGCTTCCACCCCCACCCCTGCCCCATACAGTGATGGCGCAGGAAGAGGGCAACGGCTGTAAACCCTTCCCTTTGAAAAGAGGAAGACCGGGAGGCCTACAGCAGTCCCTGCTCTGTAGTCATTCTGGAATCCTGCTGGTCAGACATTGATCAGACCCAGCTCTTCCTCCTAGAAGGGGGAGCTCCCTGGCCTGTGGCCCATCCTCCAGGACGCTCCCCCGGTCCACTATTCTCTGTGGCTGTGCCTGAAGCAAGTGTCCTTCTCATGGCCGATCCGAGGTCCGAGTACTGCTGTACGGCTCAAACAATGAATAGCTCATTTAGTTCTGTTTGGCTCCTGTGAGTTCTAGGTGCCAGGAACCATATCCAAGTTTGTTTCCTAGACATGGTTCTTGATCTGTGGTCGTTTTGAGGTTATCAGGAGCCTTAGGTGGGGATGCCACACCCTTCACCTGATCTTTGACCTCAGCCACTTTATTAGATTCCGCAGTTTGAACAGCCCTGAGCCACCAGGTTGTAATAATTCAGTTGTCTTATTTCTCTGTCTCTAGTAATCAGGACAGAGACAGGCAAGTGGTCATGTCTTAGTAAATACTGATTGAATTAATGAAATTCAGGCTTTGCTAGCTAAGCTTAAGTATTTTGTTAGCTATTTCAGGAATCTCTTTGGCTTCATATGATTTAATAATAAATATTTCGGCAAATTTTCAGGCAGTTGAAAAGTTAATCATATGTTTTCCATGTATAGTTCCTAAACTAAAGGGAAGGATAATTAGGAGTTAATGAAGTTAGTATAAGAAAAAAAAAAGATCAATTGCAAACACTGGTCTTTAAACGTCACACGTCAGTGGTTGGAAACGTAGGGAGTGGGTTAGAGAAAAAAAGAGAACGTGCAGGAGACTTTTTCAAAGGGGGACACATGGACTTTCAGAGTGGTGTTCCCACAATCACCTTCCTCACAACTTTTCCTCAGTTACAGATGCGCAGGCTGGTGTGGAACTTGGCTGTTCCTGCCTCTCCCTCGGTTCCCCCTCTCCTCCCCCCAGCAGCTTACGTGAGGCAACAGAGGGTCCCCATGATTGCTGAAATGATCAGAAAAGCAAAAATGGCAGCTGTAGGGATGGAGCTCCTGATGAGATCCCACAGGTAATCACTGAAGTTGCTCAGCCAGGACCTGGAAGTTTCTGCAGGAAGAACATAGACAGTCACTGAAGAGAGCCCGAGTAAGTGATGAAGCTGGGATTTGAAACCTGGTTCAAGTTCAAATAGTTGTCCCAGATCTCAGGTTCTTATAGTTGCCCAGGGCCCATATTCCTAACAACTTTGCTGTGCTAAGAGATTAAAGGAATACACTTTTGGGAAAACAAAGGTATCCTCAGATGGACATCATCTTTTCCTCCTTGTATGTGAAATAGGAGCAATAATCTCCGCCCCAGATCGCTTAAAGGTTGTTTGGAGGTGTCTGTGAATCAATGGGGTACACTGTGAGCGAGGAGCACGACTCAATAGACACCATGCTGTTGCCTAGAGGGTGTTCGGGGGGCTGAGGGCCCTGAGCGTCCCGTGAGGAGAAAGGAGATGGCCGCCTGCCCAGTGGCACCAACAGGAGGAGGCCGGGGCGGCTGGCAGAAGGAGGTTCAGGGTCTGCTGATCAGGGGAAGAGGTAGGGCTAACAAAAGTGTCTGTGGTGTGAAGTCAGGAGGGTTCACCACTCACAACGATACCCTTTCCAGAGATGGGAAGGAACTCAGCACCACGCTGGGCTTTGGGAGCAGCTAAGCCATCGGTCAGTGGCTCATCAGCTTTAGCTTAAATTTCGCTTCCTTTCTGAAGTCCTTCTTGACCCCTCCCCCCAAACAACTTTAATTATCCCTTTGTCCTCAGGGAGCATTTGTCATATTTTATGGAAGGTTGACACCTATGGCTTTGGCTTAGTGGGTTCATGCTTGTTGAACCAAACCAGAAATACTTTGCTTTCCTGTGAACATTTTTTTAAAAATACAGAATCACTCTTTCCTGACCTGAGACAGGAATCTTATGTCCTATGAAGATAGGAACATTCATCGTAACAGCAAACACACCCCTTGAGCGTGGTTCCAATCCATCCTGGTCTTGTATTCCGAAGGCAGATAAAGGTGACAGAGACAAAGCGACAGTTTCCAACAAGAGGCAAGTCAGAGAGCACAGCAGAAATCCAATGCTCAGCAGCTTTGGGGGTTCCATGGCCCCTCCCGAGGGCCTGCACCGAGGGGAGATGGCTTTTCCCTTGGCTCGTCCTGAGGCAGCTCTGTCTGAAAAGTCAGAAAATGGTGGTTTAGATTTTATTGCAAACCTAAAGCTATTATGAACACAAGAAAAATTCACTTACTGACACTGTTGAATCCTGAACACAGTCAGTTTCCAAGGCAAAAACCAACCCGCCTTCAAGAAACAAAACAACACAAGACAGAAATTGACTGTGCTCCATCGGATCAGGTACCTGACCTCCCCTCCTAAACCACATGCCCCTTTGGGCTTTTCCAGCTCAATTAGTGAAAACTCTTAAGTTGTTCAGGCCAAACCCTGTGGTGTCATCTTTGACTCCACTTTTTCAGTCCCACATCCTTTTCATTTTGTTTTGAGTTGGGTTTATTACTGAATCAGCAAATAAGCAGTATAAATGGTTAACCAGGTATGAATTTCAGTGGATAAGGGGGCACAGTCCATCATGGGGGTGGCGGTGGCCCAGAAGTTCTGCAGTCACAGGAGTTCGTAGCTTCCTGCTTGCTGCCACTGAACAGCCAAAGAGATCTCACTTTGTTGTAAGTCAGGTAGTATCCTACTGACTTCCCTGACCTCATGGCCTATTATCTACTCTTGATCACTCCACCTCAGCCTCATTTCCTCTGGAACAAGCCACACGTGCTCCTCTCTGTTTTGTTCACATAGGCTGTTCAGGTGCTCAATAAATATTTTTTGAATGAATGAATGGGTGGTGAATTTGGGCAGATATTGTTCATTGCCTGTCATCACCACCCCCTCTTCACTTATTACGTGCAACCAGAGAGGCTAGAAAAGCGGAACCCGCTTTCTCCCAGCCAGCCTTGCTGCTAGCAATGGCTGTGGGACATAGTTTTGGACACTGAAGCATAATGGAGATCTGATGGGTGGCTTCCGGGAAGGCTTTCTGCTGTCTTGATAAAAGTAATGGCGCTACCATTTCCCCTTTGTGTTGCCTTGAACATTCTTTAAGTGTTACCTGGGGTTGGAGGAGCCATCCTGTGACCATCAGGCAATGGACACAAGGAAAAGGCCAAGAAAATGACATCTATTCTGGCTCTGACAATTTTAAGCCACTAAACCAACACCTCTATCTGCCCACCTCTCAACTACTAGGTATGAGAAAAATAAACCCCTATTTGAGCTTTCTATTACTTAAGACATTTAGAACTGACATTCTCATCCACTGCTGAGGCCCGTGTCAGGTAAGGTGGCAAAGAAGCCAGTGAATCAGGCCTCCGTCTTAAGAAGAAGCTGGCCAGAGTCTTCCTTTAAGGTTTCTGAAGTTCCAAATAGAATTCTACTCCTCCTTATGATGTCATCTACTGCATTTGACCTGCCCCCAGTCTCCATCTATTTGACAGCTAAGCATACAGATGTTTTCTTCTGTCTATGCATAAACATTTGTGTTGATACTGAAACCCATCCTCATGGTAGCCATATCCTCTTGGGCTTGAAGCTTTCTAAGATATTTTGTTTGCCACATGGTATCTACTGCACCTTCAAATAGTGTATGTATGGGATTTTAATAGATGATAAAGGTGGCATTTCATTTCAGTGGGGAAAAAGAGATGGTTTAATGTGACGACTGGCTATTCATTCGGATGCACTGACTGAAGTGACAGCCATACACACAAAAATAAACTCTAGATGGATCAAGGACTAAACAAAAATAAAACCATATACATATCGGGATAAAACATGAGTGGAGTTTTTTGTAATCTTGGGGTGAAAAAAGCTACTTTGAATATGTCATAAAACCCCAAAGCCATAGGTGAAAATAATGATAAATTTATTGCATAAAAATGTAAAGCTTTCATACAGCAAAACATTGTAAGGAAAGATAAAAGATTAATGACAAACTAGGTGAAAATTCCACAACATATATGACAGATAATAGGTTAATGTCCTTAACATACAAAGAACTCTTACAAATCAATTTTTTAAAAAGGATGATCAGCTCCATAGAAGAACTGGCATAAATGAATCAGTCAGAAAAGCAATGGATAAATAAATTGTGATATATATTATATAATGGATTAATCTACTGCAATTAAAGTGAGCCACTAGGAAATATATGCAATAAGGGTTGTTTCCAGTTTGGAAGTGTTATGGGTAGTTTTGCCCTGTCTCTTGGTTCACATGGCAGTTCTGGGTCTAGGTCATTACCCAACAGAATTGCCACAGGCTATCTTTATGCTCAACTTTTGTAGATAATGCCAGATTGTTTTCCAAAATAATTATACCACTTTGAGTTTATTTTTGTAAACAGTATGAGGAAATGTTCTAATTTCATTCTTTTACATGTAACTGTCCAGTTTTCCCAGCACCACTTATTGAAGAGACTGTCTTTTCTTCATTGTATATTCTTGTCCCCTTGTCATAGGTTAATTGACCATAGGTGTGTGGGTTTATTTCTGGGCTCTGTATCCTGTTCCATTGGTTTATGTGTCTGTTTTTGTCTATTTTTGAGCCATAACCATACTGTTTTGATGACTGTAGCTTTGTAATACAGTCTGAAGTCAGGGAGCATGATTCCTCTAGTTTTGTTCTTGTTTCTGAAGATGTTTTGGCTGTTCAGGGTCTTTTGTATTTCCATATAAATTTTAGAATTGTTTGTTCTCGTTCTGGAAAAATGCCATTGATATTTTGATAAAGATTGCATTAAATCTGTAGATTGCCTTGGGTAGCATTGTCATTTTAACAATATTAATTTTTCCAATCCATAAACACAGTATATTTGTCCATCTGTGTCATCTTCATCAGGGTCTTGTAGGTTTCTGAGTACAGGCCCCCCCATTAGCCAAATCAGCTGGAGTATGATTGCAAACACTGAACTCGTAAAAGTGATCCCAGGAGATCTGGGTGATGCAAGTACAGCATTTCTCACATTAGGTTCACTACGTTCTGCTGCAGCCTCTCCCGGATTCTGGTTGGTCACAACCTCTAGAAAACTTATAAAAGGGGGGTTTGTGGGATGGGCCAGAGGCCAGACTACTGCCTTTATGCCTTCTAGTGCTAATGGATGTCAAGGTTAAGAATCTCTCTCTCTGCTACTGGATCAAGGCTCCATTTCTAATTTTTTAAATGTTAGCTTCACCTCATAAATTATAAAATTTCATTGTTCACATTTTTATTTCCAGTATAAAAGCACAACTCTCAAAGGCATTTGTTTTCACACATCAATGTTTTGTTTAACTGATTATTGAGGGAACCAGCGGGAAGACAAAAGAGCTGGTTCCAAGAGCATTTGAAAAATAAAGATGTATGTGGTCAATGGGAAAAGAATGCCAAAACAAGATGATTAAGTTAGACATAAAAGTGGTTAACCTTTTACAGGGAGTCAAACCATATCACCTTATTGATTTCTGTAAATTAACCTCTAACCTTAATGGACTTTTACAGGACAGTAAGCCATTCCCAACCTTATCTGTCAGGGGTGGGGCGAGGTGGGGGTTCCTCTTGGGCAGTTAGGGTACAGAATTTCCTGGTACATTTTGTTGTGTCGTTTCAGCAGGAAATTAGCTGAGGAGGGAGTAAAATGAGTGCATGATTAGAATTACAATGTTGTATCTCCTATCCCAGAGAGCCATGGATTTTCCTCATTTTTCTGTGGAAATATTAAAAATATGTCCTTTAGAAGCCTAGTATGATCATGACCTTTCTTGGTCACCACAGAGGAGGAAGTGGTGGCCGTGTCCAGAGGAGAATGCTTTCCAGCTGAGTTTCCTCATTGCTTTTTGCCTGAGTACCTTGGAAGGAAGGACCAATCTGGGAGCGGCCGCAGCAAATGCGCAAGAGGTAAATTGGATGCAACAGCCCCAGAGAACGCAGGACACATGACGATTGATTTGGGAGGCTTCAGGGCATATCTGCCGGGACTGAGGAATTGAAATACATAGAAAAACGATGGCACCGTGGGCAGCGTGGGGCAGGAAGTGACCCAGAGGGCGGGCTCAGAGGGATGCTGGACCCGAATCAGGAAAGGGCCCGGGGCCAGGAAGGAAGGACCGGGCCTCAGTACTGCTGCTGCGCCTCGCAGCCCAGAAGCTCCAGCCTCAGGGCGATGTGGTGCGCCCAGCTCTGCGGGTGAATTCGAAGGAAGCGGGTAAACAGCGGGGGGTCTAGAGCGTTCACCACGGGTGTGAAGGAGTCTTGATTTCCCTGAAAAATCTGAAAGAGGAGAGATAGCATTTGTTGGTTGACAGGAAAAGAGTTACAATGTTTACACAACACACCCCCGAGAGGCTCCCCAAGTCCATTGGCCTCCTGCTTGGTCTGTAACTCTCCCTAAGCTCCGCCCCCTCATGGGCACCCACTCCAATGCCCATCGCCCAGCACGCACGCTTTTTTTCACTTCCAATTGAGGGATCCACGCTTCCGGTAGTCCAGGATTGAACCCTGGGAGGTGACTGGATGACTCGGTCCCCTGCCTCTGTACCTGGGAAAGTGGTTGTGACATCTAGAATTAAGAGCATCCTTGCTAACCTCCTGTGGAGGCCGTGCTTCCAGCTATGGCTTCCCTCTGGAATCTTCTCACCCACTTTCCCAACTAATTCAAGGAAGTTGTAAACATCATGATATTTTACTCCCAAATACTTCAACCTGCCAAGCCTTTGGGTCTCAGTTTAAATGTTATCTCTGAAACAGGACTCTTGTTGACTCTGAATCTCCTCTTGTTCATTTCCTTTACACCATTCAGAATCTTCTCATTTATCTGTTTACCTGCTTATTGACCATTTCATTTGTTTTCACCACCAAATGTTGGTTCCATGACAGCAGAGACCTTGGTCCCTGACCTTCCACACGTACAATATATATAGTATATACGTAGCAAATATACTATAAACATTTGTTAAAGTTTGTGTGTTTGATAAAACTTTCGGGAAACAAAAGAGATTCTTGGATAAATATTTGTGGCATACTCTGGAGGCTTGTACATCTTCTGTTAGACTTATTCCTTGATCTTTTCCCTCAAGAAACTGAAAGAAGGGCTTCCCTGGTGGCGCAGTGGTTGAGAGTCCGCCTGCCGATGCAGGGGACACGGGTTCGTGCCCCGGTCTGGGAAGATCCCACATGCCGCGGAGCGGCTAGGCCTGTCAGCCATGGCCGTTGAGCCTGCGCATCCGGAGCCTGTGCTCCGCAACGGGAGAGGCCACAGCAGTGAGAGGCCCGCGTATCGCAAAAAAAAAAAAAAACAAGAAACTGAAAGAATAATACAAGGAACACTTAAATCTCCTTTAATCTACAACAGACTCCTAGTCTCTGGTCTTTTTTTGTCCTTCATGGTGTTGACATTTTAAAAAGTCTAGGACCATTGCGTTGTAGAATGTCCCACATTCTAAATTTGTGTGACTGTTTTCTTATTATTAGATTTCAGTTCAACATCGTTAGTGAGAATATTAACTAGGTGATGTGCCTTTCCCACCATATCACATCAGAGGACACGTGATGCCGATTCCTCCAGAGTTTGACCCTTAGTTAAGGTGATGTCCACCAGATCTCTCTTTTATAAAGGTAATAACTTCCCTTACCTAACAATCTGTGGGGTTAGACTTTGAGACTGTGTAAATATTCTGTTCCACATTAAGCTTTCATCCAATGGTTTTAATATCTACTGAAGTTCCTTACAAGTATTATATACTGTATTGATGAGTGGTTTCTTAATTTTGTCATGTCTTCTACATTTATTAGCTGGAATTCTTCTGTGGAGAAGAACGTCTCCTCTCCCTTTATATTTTGATGATGATAATGGACTCCAAGATGTTCCAGTAACACCTAGCAGCTTCCTGGCTCTGGTCTTGGAATCTCTAAGGAGCCCAGGTTCCTTTTACTAGGAAATGGTATTTGGAAACCAAGACTGTTCTGGGTTGGCTTAGGCTCTGCTCCAGGCCAAGGCTCACGTACACCATGCCTTCTCAGCTTGGACATTTTTATCTCATGGCAGAGAGCAGAGGCACCAGAGACTGAGCCAAACACAGGGTCACATTGAAAGCTTCTGTTGGAAAGTGGTTTATATCATGTCTACTTACACTGCATTGGTCAACATGAGTCCTACTATGAAGCCCAAAGTCAATGGAGGTTTCAAAAAAGGAGGAAGTGAAAAATCAAGAATAATACCTTTGTGACTTCCCTGGTGGCGCAGTGGTTAAGACTCCACCTGCCAATACAGGGGACATGGGTTCGATCCCTGGTCCGGGAAGATTCCACATGCCGTGGAGCAAATAAGCCCATGCGCCACAACTACTGAGCCTGTGCTGTAGAGCCCACGAGCCACAACTACTGAGCCCGTGAGCCACAACTACTGAGCCCGTGTGCCTAGAGCCCGTGCTCCACAACAAGAGAAGCCACCGCAATGAGAAGCCCGCGCACTTCAATGAAGAGTAGCCCCTGCTCGCCACAACTAGAGAAAGCCCGGGTGCAGCAACAAAGACCCAATGCAGCCAAAAATAAGTAAGTAAATAAATAAATAAATAAAATAAAAGAATAATACCTTTTACCTCATCTGCTATTTTCTGTTCATTCATCACAGCAATGAGGTGATTTTACAATATGTAGTCAGAGATAAGAGGTTTGGGTGGCTTGTTAGGTTTCTTAGTCCACAAGCACCCTCTACTGTTGATAAAGAGAAGTGCAATTTCTGTAACAGATGGGATAGGAAGATATGTCTTGTGATTTTGTGACTCATTTTTGCTTTTCCAGAACACTTAATTTCCACCACTGAAACTTATGGTATTCTTTGTCTTCTAGTTATTCTGTGAGTTATGGGTGGTTTTATTTGCAATTTTAAAATATATCTACAGAGAGATAGTTAGATAGAGAGATGGTTTTTGAAGGCTGTATGGAGAGATTTAGGCAGCTGCCATTATTTGATGAGAATGTACAACTCAGTATTTGGAATTTTAAAATGCTATTTTAAATTATTTTTCTATTTGTTTCTGGCATGTAGAAATACAATAAAATTTTCTATTGATTTTGTTTTCAGCAAGCTTGCAAACTTATCTTAGTAATTCTAATAATTTAGATAGATTCTTTTGGATTTTCTATGTATGCCATCGTATCTTCCACATATGAGAGGGTTTTTTTTCCCAATCCTAACACATTTTATTTCTTTTTCTTACCTTACTGCATTGCTTAGGACCTCCAATACAGTTTTTAATGAAAGTGGATGGGGCAGATTAAAGATGGCTATGAATTTTTTTGATACTCCTCCCATGGAGAGGTAGGTGTATTTAGACTTTTTTATTTTTGGCTGTGCCAGGCAGCTTGCGGGATCTTAGTTTACCGGCCAGGGATTGAACCCAGGCCATTGCAGTGAAAGCACAGAGTCCTAACCACTGGACCTCCAGGGAATTCCCTTTTTTTTTTTTTAAATTGAAGTATAGTTGATTTACAATATTGTGTTAGTTTCAGATATACAGTAAAGTGATTCAGTTATATATACTTTTTTTCCAGATTATTTTCCATTATAGGTTATTACAAGATATTGAATATAGTTCCCTGTGCTATACAGTAAATCCTTGTTGCTTATCTATTTTATGTATAGTAGTGTATATCTGTTAATCCGAAACTCCTAATTTATCTCTCTTCCCCCGACCCTTCCCCTTTGGTAATCATCAGTTTGTTTTCTATGTCTGTGAGTCTATTTCTGTTTTGTAAATGAGTTCTTTTGTATCATTTCTTTTAGATTCCACATATAAGTGATATCATATGATATTTGTCTTTCTGTGTCTGGTTTACTTCACTTAGTATGATAATCTCTAGGTCCATCCATGTTGCTGCAAATGGCATTGTTTCATTCTTTTTTATGGCTGAGTAATGTTCCATTGTATACATGTACCACATCATCTTTATCCATTCCTCTGTCCTTGGACACTCAGGTTGCTTCCATGTCCTGGCTATTGTAAATAGTGCTGCAGTGAACATTGGGGCGCATGTGTCTTTTGATTTGTTTTAAGTTGGGGTGGGCAATTGATTCTGTAGGCTGATAGAGTATGGCAGCAGAGGTGATGCTGTGCCAAGTTCAAGAGGACTGACAGCTTCCACCTTGGTTTCTTGGAATCTAGCTTTTATGTAAGAAGAGTGACTATCCTAAGACCAGCATGCTGAGAGGCCCTGAAGAGACACCAGTGGATGAAAAGGTCAAGGAGAACCAAGATACCAGGTAGGTGAGCAAAGAAGCCATCTAGGAAGTAGATCCATCCGTCCATACCCACTGAAACCCCATGGATCACAGACAAACCAGCCAGACAGATCAACCTAAATTCCTGATCCACAAAATTGTGGCCAAGTTTCAGGGTAGTTTGTGATGCAGCAATAGATAAATGGTATCTTATTTTTAATCTCAAAGGGAAACCTTTCTGTGTTTCACCTAAAATATTTGCTGTAAAATTTTTGTGAATATCCTTTATCAGATTGCGTAGTTTCCCTACTAGTCTTAGTTTGCCAAATTTTCCCATTAAGAATAGATATTGAATTTTATGAATCTTTTTCTCAGCATTTATTGGCTGTATAATCCTGAAGTTCATTAATGTGATGGATTGCATTAATTTTCTAATGTTAAGCCAACCTTGCATTCCTAGGATAAATCTAACATACATATTGCTAATATTTTGTTTCGGATCTATGTTCATGAGTAAAGTTGGCCTATTATTTTCTTTTCTAATAAAATTGTCTTTGTTGTGATTTGTTGTCATCATTTAAAGAGTTGGATAATGTAAATACAAGCTTTTTCCATTTTTCTGGAAGAATCTTTGTAATAATGGTATTATTTCTCCCTTGATAATTTGGTAGAGTATTTAGTATAGCCATCTGAATCTGGAGGTTTCTTTGTAGGAAGATTTTTGAACACCAATTCAATTTTTCAAAGGTTGTAGGAGTTTCCGCACTTCCACTGCAGGGGGCCCAGGTTCCATCCCTGGTCGGGGAACTAAGATCCAGGAAGTTGTGGGGCGTGGCCAATTAAAAAAAAATGGTTGTAGGAGTTTCAGGGTTTTTGATTCCTTCTTGAGTAAGTTATATTTACTAGAAATTATCCATTTCACCTAATTTTCCAAATTTACTGTCATAAGGTTAATAAATATCCTCATTTTTTTATGTTGGCAGGATTTTACTGGGTGGTAAAATCAGTCATGCAAGTTGGAAATTTTTTTTTTTTGGCTGTGGCTGCACAG